TGCAAGCTCCAAGCATTTTCTCTGTCCTGTAACGACCTGATCTGGAATAAACTCTGTTACTTTTTTACTCCTGTTTTAATATTCCTTTTTTATATGGTTTTACAAAGTTTGAGTTAAGAGTAGTAAGGAACTTGCTCCCAGGAAAAGAACCGGTGGGGAAGCCCAGAGGCGCAACTGCCTTTTTAGGGGACATTACTTCCTCATTTCACAACACTGTGCTGGCCAATCCATGTATCTTAATAATATCTAATGCTTCTTGAACCACTCATTGACATTTCCAGCCCAAAAACTCCTGGCATTGTCATCTTGGAATATGCTTGTGTCAGAAGGGAGGAAAAACACCCAGTGATAAAATGACTTTGTCATTTAGTATATACAGGTTTGTGAGATGATCTTATCTTTGAGCACATACTGTTACTAAACCTACACCTGATCAACTGTAGCAGCCCAAGATCCTAGCAATACCCCCACAGGCTGTTAAAGTAGGCACTAGGTATAATGAGCGCATCGCTTCCTCTGCTTCTTTGTTCGATGATCTACCAATCATTTTAGAACAGGGTTAATCTGGTCTCTTCAGATCATATGACCTTCTTCCATTGCTCCAGAGTCCTATCTTTTAGTCCCCTCATATATTGAAAAATTTCCTCTGCTTCTATTTTGTTAGGTCACCCAGAGTTCATCCATTCCCCATTAAGCTCCCTTTTGAAGAGAAATTATATAGTTTTTCAGTGCTACTTGATTTGTGCAGGTAAAACTATTGTCTGTGCTGATTTGGTTTTTAAGATGTTGGCTATCTGTGACAGACTGGCGACCTGTCCAGGGTGTACCCCGCTTCTTGCCCATAGACTGCTGGAGATCAGCACTGGCTCCACTGCGACCCTGAAAAGGACTAAAACAGAAGATAGATGGATTTTGGCTATGTCCGAACAGCTGCCCTAACACCTAAACTCTCAATCACTACATAGAGTGCTGACTAGAAAGATTGTAGACTTTACAATGAACTCAGTTAACTGAGCGCTTGGACAGATGATCTCTAGTTTTCGCTCCCTGTTGGTCATGGGAGTCTGGTTCCCTGCACAGTGCCTGTGCCATGTTTGTTCTTTCGTTCTCACAAAACAAATTCTTAGATTATTTTCGGAGAGCTCTTGCAAAACATTCTGGGATATATATATTTGTATAGTGACTATATGGTTGAATCCCAAACCGGTCCCTAACCACTAACACTTAAATATCAAGTGTAATTGGCAATAAAACTTACTCGCAGCTGCGGAAGAAGCTCTGATTAAAGGTGGGGGGGGGGTATAAACAAGACAGTGGGGGCCTCTTCCCTCCAATAGAAAAAGAAAGCGGTCTTTGCTGAGGCAACACAGTGATGCCCCATGTGCGTGGCTCTAGCTCTCTGGCGCAGGCTGACATAAATATAACATTTGTTCCTTTTCTAAAACAAATGTATACAGTGAAATAAAACTATTTCAAAGAAGACCTTCCCTTTTGGAATTCAGTTATTTTTTTCCTCATACCCAACTTGTGAATTTGTCAGTGTGATGAAGATGCGGCGAATCTTGGAAATTACATTTAAATTCACACATCTCCTCCGCCATCAAGCCGCTGTTACACCTGCTGCCAAATTCCAGCAAACCTGCAGTTATGCAGACTCGCTATGGCTCAACAGTCCACTCCCCCTACCCACTGTGGTTTGGGAAGGCACTAATAGCGGCGGACCACCTGCGGGAAAGCGCAAACTGAGGGTTAAGGCTGATTTAGGGCTGGTTAAACTCCATTAAACAAGCAGTCGTGAATATCAGATTTATAGTGAATTTATAGTGAATATCAGATTTATAGTCTCCATACAGTACAGATATTGGAATCTGTGCTTAAATGTTAGCCAAACCCGTTTGCACAGGGACAGATACAACTTTTCAATAAACCAAACATTATCCGCCACATATCTGACTCAATAGCTATCATTTTATTGATTTAAGATGAAAATATATACAATGCTCACCACTATTCAGCTCTATCTTATGCATCAAGGCGGCTGCATTTGTCAACCACATAACTGGAAGTCTTCCAAACCGAACAGGCCAGGGGGCTATGAATGTGGCAGATTACGTGCTGAATTTAAACTTAGCACTACTCTTCAAGGTGCATTTCGGGAAATTTCAAGTACTTTTTCATCCACTAAACATTTGGACGCTCATATAAAATTGCATAACCACTATATAGTGCTGTCAGACAAAGCCAGAATCTTTTAATTTCGGCCAATAACATCATGATCCTAGCAGACGTTTGTGCTGCGCTTATTTCCTAATAAAAACTTTTTGCATAACATGTCATTCCTGTGCTGGCATTGAATACGTTGGATATTTATATAGAAAATTATTATTAAACATCAAAGCACACTAGGGTCCAACCAATTACTTGGGTGTACTTTTGTTAGTGCCTGAAAGTAGTGTAAATTTAGTATTTGAAATAAATGAAACAAATATTTATTTTTTTTATCAGACGAAACCTTGACATAAAACAAACTGAAATGCTGAAGCCTTTTAAAAAGGATTTAAGCAAAACAAGGACAGATGCACACAACAGTTTTACAGAACGAAACTTTATTTCACTGTCAATTTAATGTTGTTAAATATCAAGATGGACCAAAACGTTTTTATTAGGCTGTTGGGTTTTCCTGACTGGTACCTGATCCTTTTTCCATCAAACTTTATTTAAATTTTATTTGTTAACTAATCAGACATTTGAACAGGGTATTCACTCTGAAATGAGATTATTAACAAATTTTATAATTTTTGTGTAAGAAAGAAAAAAGGTTTGTCCTTTCAGCTTTTCAAAACTACATCAACAGCAACAATCACTAAATTTGTGTTTTGCTCTACCAGACGGTGCGTTTCACCCCAGCCCAAATGGAGCGTTTGATTCTCTGTGCAGCTTGAACGTCGTCCCAGTGCAGCTTGGTATTGGGGATCTCATCCTTGGACTCCGGGTTGGGGCGCACCCCGTCTTTAGGGCTTGCCACCACTACAGGTAGCGGGCCTCGGTGAGACTGGAACTCCACAACATGGAGCTGCTTCTTGTCGGACAGTGCTTGGTGGGTTTCCTGTTGGGTGGTTGAAGTAGAAACGGTGAGCAGGGAAACGATATTTATCAGTAAAAACAACTCATATGGAGCCCGTTACTTTTAACTTTAAGGTATCTGATGATAATGACGATGAGACCAGTTAAGAGCAAAATTAGCTTTTCAATGATTTTCTTCGTATATGGAGATGTAAAATTGCCAAACTAATAAAAAACTAAGTTTGTAAAGAAATATTCATATGTGTTATAATCTAAAGAATATTGGAAAAAAATATAGAAAACATTTAACTTAAATTGTTAAAGTTTCAAAAAATAAATATTAATGTTTGGGTTTAAGGTTCGAGTCTATTGAACTTTAGTTTCTCTGATATAGCCTATAGAGTTCTGATGAAAAGTAGAAAGGGAGATCTTATCTCTCCTATCCTACCTCTCTTCATTGGCTTCCTGTTATATCAAGAATAGAATTTAAAATCCTCCTTCTCACATATAGAGCCTTAAATGGCCAAGCTCCATATTATATCAGAGATCAGATT